TTCTAACTGTCAATTGACATATAACAAGTTGCTTCAGAAAAGAATGCATTCGTGTCAATAAGTTGCCAGTAATCCAGAATGACATCCAAAAAAAAGAATATTCTAGATACAAACCAGTTGCAAATTATAAACATGCACGTTTATATAAAGTGTTTATTATTTTATTTTTTCATATGTCTGTTTTTTTGTTGTTGTCATTGTAGTTTGCAGACCATATAATTTAGATGTATTTCACCAAACACTTAGTTTTTTTCAAATAGAATATTGTTTCTTTTTATTTTGCTGTTATTCTTTTCCTTGTATATTTTGTTTATTTACAGCTTTGTTCTTTCTTTGTATCAAACAGATACCCCAAGTATTGCATGGTGATGTAATGTTTTATTTCACTTGTACACATTAGTTTTTCTTTTACACAACAAAACAAAGTGAGCTTACACCATTGCCTAGAAGGGATACATTGAAAAATGTATCCATCATCCTAAACCGCAGTCATAAATAATGCACACACAGAATTCAACACCACCACAATTAGGAAAATATTTGCCTTATGTATTTAATGTGTGTGTATGCTGTTGGTTTTGTCTAGACTGCAGCCTGTTTCAGTTTTTCACAAGGGACACTGATGAACATTCTGTATGGTTTTTCACTGGTACAGGAATGGAAAAACTACTGGCTGACCCACTTGCATTAATTTGGAACTGTAGCTGACTGATAACTGATAACTGATATGACACATATGATTTCACAAGACAGTGAAGCATTTGATGAGACACACCATTCAGTGACAGCAAAATTCAGAACTTATAATAAACACAGGAAATCCAATAACACCACAGTTCAATAAGGATATATGATATACAATATAATAACATCAGAGTTAATTATATAATTGTTATATTGCATCATATGTGATAGTACACAACATAAAGAGCAATCCACAGAATTTATCAGTCCTAACTTGATTTCCTTCTGTGCTTATTTCAGCAAAGAATCCATATATGTTTATGTTTGTTCATACATATATGGAGTGTCTTTATTTAAATTGTTTTATTGTTACTGTTGGCTCATGGACATGTTAGGTTTATATGTAATATGTGTATGTTTAATTGTTGTTTTTTCCTCTGTGTCCGCTGGTTGCTTTCTGTGTTTTATTTATACTCAAGCTTATAAATCCATATGCATGCACTCAGATGGCTTTATATTTATTAACGGCTTGGTTACTAACACATTCATGATGAGTAATAATTGTAATTTACTTGTGAAGATGTTTTTGTTCTTTTCATCCTCAACAGATGCTCAAGCAAGAACTATGCTTCTTCTTCTCCTTATACTTCTTCTTCCTGATCTTCTCCTTTTTTCCTCTCCTTAATACATTTTTGGATGTCAACCTGAATATATTTACAGAAAGCACCAATAAGTCCGAGCTTGGAAATTGCTATATACAACTTTTTTCTCCCATAGACAATATAATACAAATCATTGTCTTTCCTTCTTTTTAGTGATCTTTTCTGATTAATTACTGAAAACATTAGGTTAGCTCATAAAATGTGTTTTGTTTACAAGCATTTTGAAAATTAAAAAATAGCCAGCTTTATAACATCTGAGAATTATGTAAGTCACATTTATTACTGTTTTAAAATGACATATCGACCATCTTTATTATTATATGAGAATGATGTCACAGCCATTTGTATTCACCATCTGACACAATCAGAAAAACCCAAGCCACTCAAGAAAGCTCCAGTTATTGAAGAAATTGGTGAGAACTTTGTGTGCCTGTCCTGGCAACCCCCAGAGTCTGACGGTGGCTCCCCCATCACAGGATACATTCTGGAGAGACTGGACATCAGCGGAAAGTCCTGGTTGCCGGTCAATAAACAGCCCATCAAGGAGACAGCCTACAAAGTGACCGATCTGAAAGACAACATCACCTACGAGTTCAGAGTCCGTGCTGAAAATGCTGTTGGTCAGTCGGAGCCATCACCATCAACAGAGCCATTCATCTGCGGGCATAAAATCGGTGAGTCTGGTTATGTATCTGTTTCCATTGTTTTCACATATCATTTTAGACAAGAGTGCTACACAAGGAAACATTAGTATTTTTTTAAAACTTTTTGTAAGAGGGTCTATATCTGGGGTTAGGAGTTTTATACACTTTTACAGCTCTGACATACTGAGATTCAAAATCAGCTGCAGGTATTTTGGTAATGGACTGCTTTGCATTGGTTTTGACAATAGTATGAGCATCATAACATCAGAATGCAATAGCTGACAACTGATCATACATTGTCTATTAAAACCATGCATCAGCCAACAAACCGTGGGGTCAGTTTGCATAGTCCTAAATATTTTTAGAGTGTGCAGATTGACTTTCAACGTGTTTATGTTTTATTCTTTTTAAATTATCCTCAGCTTTGGGTGCACCCAAGTTCATCGCAGAGTTTGATGACCAATCAGTTCCTGTTGGCCAGGATGCAAAATTCATGTGCCAGGTTATCGGATTGCCAACACCAGAAATTTCATGGTACCAGTTTTTGCTTTGTTCATATTCTTGTGATTATGTGATACAGAGTTGACATCACTGTATGAAGACATCCTATTCTGCTTTTTAAAATTATAATGGTGTATTCATTCTTAACCTGAGAAATTAGGGCTACATGACTAGTGCGGTCACAATCCTTGCAGGATTATGAATTTACCTTTGCATTTACCTGACATATAAAATAATCCCAATAATTTACAGAGAATTTGAACTCATGTCTTTCAATTGAGAGTTCAGCATTCTAGCTGCACAGTCAGGTACTCATCCTGCCAAATGAAACAAGGAATCTGTCCTTGGCCTTTCAGCAGCTGGATTTAAATGTTAGACTATACTGTGCATTCAGCCATACTGCTAGGTTTGTATGCTCTTGAAAGACAGAGTCAAAGTCTCGCAAATTCACACTGTCATCTGCCTGCTCCTCTACTAACAAGAAGTGAATGACTGCAATCCCGTGTAACATGTGATCTCAATTAGTAACCAAGTTTTTGCAACAACGTTGCCAAATTAGCTAGTAGCAAATTCTGTATGTGAAAGCGCTGGGCTCTTATCTGCCATCAAATCGTATACTAGACAAAAATGGGGATTTCCCAAACAGCAGCTGTATACACATAGAGATATCCCTCTATGTCATCTCTGACGAAAATGACCTCACTCTTGACATAGCCAAGAGGGAAAAATCAAAGGGTCAAAAGGGGTAGTATGTCATTCAAGGTATGATTGTGTACTTGAAATTGCCACTCAAAACATTATATACAGTTATTAAAGGAATAGTATTTCAACCTCTTGCCCTAGCACAGAGAATCTTATTGCAGTGAACAGATTGGCCGACTGATCAATGAGTTGATCAGTCAGTCAATGAGTTGATTGATCAGTCGATCTGTTTGTCCCTTCCAGGTTGCTACCTAAAGGTTTACCATAAATCCTGAGATTAAAAAATCTCAGTCTGGACAGCAGACCAACTAGGCAGATCGTAGATACTCCAATCAACCTGCTAAGAAGATATAATTTGGCCACCTGTAATGGTTACACTAGCCAGGTGTAATGTACATCCTTGTGTGGGTAAGGATCTTATTGCCAGCAAGAAACTGAATAGTGCCTCTGATAGAGTCACGTCTTTTATCAGTTTTGAGTTTTAGTTACAAGAAGTTGTGTGTTCTTCTGCAGGTATCGTAACTACAGAGAGGTGTATGATGGCCGCAAGATTGTCATACGCCAAGAGGCCACCAATTTGACATTGATCCTCAAGAGTGTGGAGTTTGCAGATGCTGGAGATATTGAGTGCCAGGCCAGAAACAAATATGGAGCTGTCAGTATCAGAGCTAAACTCCATGTACTGGGTGAGTTAAGCAGTTTACAAGTTCTCAGTGTTGGTAGCTTCTACAAGATGATTGTCTGCACAGCTTCACAAGTTCTCAGTGTTGGTAGCTTCTACAAGATGATTGTCTGCACAGCTTCACAAGTTCTCAGTGTTGGTAGCTTCTACAAGATGATTGTCTGTACGGTTTCACAAGGTCTCAGTATGGTAGCCTTTGACAAGATGATTGTAAAGTTTCACAAGTTCTCAGTGTGGTAGCCTATGACAAGATGATTGTAAAGTTTCACAAGTTCTCATTGTGGTAGCTTTTGACAAGATGATTGTACAGTTTCACAAGTTCTCAGTGTGGTAGCCTTTGACAAGACGATTGTACAGTTTCACAAGTTCTTGGTGGATATGATTCCTGTTATATAATGCAAATCACATGTCATTCTATTATTCATAAATGAGAATGTTTCATTTATCATTCAGCACCACCACCCCCCCCCCCCCCCCCCCCCCCCACCCCCCCCCCCCCCCCCCCCCCCCCCCCCCCCCCCCCCCCCCCCCCCCCAAAAAAAAAAACAATTATTATTTGTAACACAGAAATCTGTCATTTTAATCTTTTACTGCATGCGTTATATTTGTTTCTGCCTTCACTCTATGTTGTGTTGTTGTTTACAGCTAGACTGTGATGTGTGCACTTTGTGGGCCAAACACATTCTATTTGACCAAACCTATAATTAGTCTCCATTTACAACATGTTAGTTTTGGGGACAGTAGGTCTGAATCCCCCCTCCCTTTTTTTTCAAATGGGGCCCCAGAACCCACCCATGGAGCATACATTGTATTATTTTTGAGAATACTGTGTTGTTATCGTTTACTGCAAACACATTTTTGTCATGTTATCATTTAGTCAACTCTGTATTATTATTATTATTTTTCTTACAGTTGTAACCACTGTATATATTGCCAAACAAGAAAGGAGGGTGATCTGATAACACCATCACCCTTTAAGATCTCAATCTAGTGCATTTTCATTATATAACATAGGATTATTTGGACTTGTTTATTATTACAGAATTTAATGAAAGCAGACCAGTATTCACATAAGTCTTACAATATAGTGTTTACAATATCATCACTGTTGGTAAGATGTGTCTTATGTTTGTGTGTATATTAACTTCCACAGCCGCCCCACACATTGAGCTTCCAGATCGCTACGGACAAGGGCTTCGGTTCTGCCGTGGTGACACCATCAAAGTCCGCATTCCAATCTCGGGCACTCCAACTCCTAAAACCACCTGGACTAGAGGCCGTGAGACGCTAGAGGTCGGAGGCCGCAAAGGTCGTGTGGACATTGCAGGAACTAACCTCCACTCAACATTGATTATTGAAGACTGTGTGAAATCTGATGAAGGGGATTACACTCTTGAGATAACAAACCAGCTTGGTTCCGCAACAGTTGAAGTTCACATCTCTGTCGTAGGTATGTCATTAACATGATGTTCATGAGGGACAGCAAAGGCAATAATATACTCAATAAATATTTGTTTACTGTGTTTATGATTACATAAACATGGTGATAGTATCAACTGCCTTGCTAACAGGTGTAGGGGATCCTGCTTCTCCACATCTAGTGATCTCCAACACTATGTATCATGCAGGTGTTGTTGGCAGGGAAAGTGCTGATAGACTGGCTAGTTTTGTCTTAATATCAGATGGGCAGTTGATGAATCATGCCAACATTGTTAATGCACTTGGAGTTAGAGCTACAGAATGTTTGGAGGGTTTTGGGGTCAGTGTGTTCACATCACCACCAAGAATGAGAAAACTGGGAGTAAGGATCAGCGCAGACAAGCATAAGAGGCACAGTGGATGTACAAACAGTTTTGTTAACTAGCAAAGGACTGACATTATTAACCATGGGACACTGGTGTATATGCTGAAGAGGGAATCCCAAGATATGCCAAGAAGATAACCCAACTCCAATAGCCATGCATCAGTTTGTTTGCAGACAGCTTTCCAAGACTGTCAAGAATCTTTAGATGTCTTCCTATACCTCTCTTTCAATAAATGTGTTTAGTTGTTACCACAAATTTCAGTTTTTTTCAGTTCACATAATGTTACTACACCTCATTTAGCCAAAAAGTCCTGTGTTTGCATCTCTACACTAGCATCTGCTATATGATTAGCTCTTTCAGTCTCATGTATTGCAGCACATCCCCAAAGCTGAAAACCATGACAATGTAAAATTCTGAGCCCTTTATTTTCAATGACAATTATTACGAAATACAAATGATCACCAGTGATGCCAGATTTTGTTAGTTTGTCTTAACCAAACGTAAAATTTGAAAGAACCCATTTTGCTATGACTAGGATTTACAATAAGATAGCCCATTATACATCATACACTACTTAGGACTGAGAGAGTTAACTGTTATGTCTTTGTACTTTACAGAACCTCCAGATGCACCTAAAAAGCCAGACATCAGGGAAGCAGACAAGCACAGTGTGGATCTATGCTGGGAGCCACCAGCATATGACGGAGGCTCACCCATCACAGGTTACGTGGTTGAACGCTGCGACCCCATCACTCACATCTGGCGTTGGGCCCTGGCCACCTCCCAGCCATTCTGCACTGTTGCTTGTTTGGAAGAGCATGGCGAGCATAGGTTCCGTGTTATGGCTGAGAATCGGTTTGGTGTCAGTGAGCCAAGCGAAGAGTCTGAGATTGTCATCACCAGAGAAATCTTGCCAGCCATAAACTATGATGAACTTTGTAAGTTTCATTTCATTGATTATTATTATGTTAGAAATTGTACTGTAATGTGCTTGATGGTGGGTTCTTAGTCCAGCTTCACAGCAAACCAACCACCAGTCACAGTTCCAGCTTCACAGCAAACCAACCACCAGTCACAGTTCCAGCTTCACAGCAAAACAACCACCAGTCACAGTTCCAGTTTCACTGCAAACCAACCACCAGTCACAGTTCCAGTTTCATGGCAAACCAACCACCAGTCACAGTTCCAGTTTCACAGCAAACCAACCACCAGTCACAGTTCCAGCTTCACAGCAAAACAACCACCAGTCACAGTTCCAGTTTCACTGCAAACCAACCACCAGTCACAGTTCCAGTTTCATGGCAAACCAACCACCAGTCACAGTTCCAGTTTCACGGCAAAACAACCACCAGTCACAGTTCCAGTTTCACGGCAAACCAACCACCAGTCACAGTTCCAGCTTCACGGCAAACCAGTCACCCAATAATTTCTCCATTCCTATGCCAACAGAAAATCACCCAGATTGCCCATGACTATTCCTTGTGAAAAAAAAAAAATTTGAAACATGACTATAGCTCTGGCAAAGCCAACAACAAACAATTAAGGGATCTACTGTGAGAAATGTCATAACAAGTTGTTGATAAAATTATATATAGGTTCATAGTTCTGTAGAATTTGTTATTTTAGAAGATATCCTGACAAAGTGACCTTATTTGCAGAAAATGTGTGATAATTTGTGCAGAAATATTAATTTACAGCAGGAGGGTATTTTCTGTGGACAGTTAAAAAAGAAACAAATACGGTGGTCATAATTACCCAGAGAAATCTCTGGTATCCATTTTGCAAGAGTGGGTAGACTCCAGAACTGTACTGGCCAGAGAACACTATTCAGACAGCTGGAGATCACTCATTTACTTTTGAGGAGTGGGTCTCTATAACAAAGTGGTTAAGCCACTTGCCTCATGCTCTGAAAGTTGTGGGTTTGATTTCATACTCTCTACTTCTGTTTATGAGTGCAGCTTGCTTCAGCAGTTCCTGAAGCTGATCGCCGAAGCTTCAGACTTATAAATTATGTGACAACTTCAGAGACAAAGTCATATCTGATAAAACCTCGTGCAGATCTTTTGTCCTTTAAACATGCAAACTTTTGATTAATTGATTATAATCACACAGCAGGGCTCAGTAATCTGACTGTTTGCTTTGTCTTGAAGTTGATGAGAAGTTCCTCGGCTCCCATGTGGATGTCAATTGTATTCAAGGGGATGTGCTTGGGAAATACATCATCTGTGAGGAGCTTGGAAGGTAACTATGTCTTGTTTTGTGAAATGTAGGAAAAACAGTGAGAATTTCAAAGACAAGGTAGAAACTGAACACTTGCTGCCCTAAATGCAAGCCTTGATGAACATAATTAGTACTGGAATTGTACTGGGTGCTGAAGATGAGGACTGAGTGCATATAGAAGTGTTATAGTTCTTTACGGAACTGAAAACAAATGCTACATTATTTAGAGAGATGTAGTTTTCTTGTCGTCGAAACTGTAAGAATAAAAGTGTGGTCGATCACCAAAGCTATAAGGCACAGAAAAATTAACATTGTAGGCAAGCAAAAAAAAAAAAAAAAGAAGTGAAATAGAGAAACAAACTTTATGCAGGAAATATTTGGTATTAGTGGTAATAAGTAGAGTAAGAAAAATACAGATATATGTAAGTAAAGTAATGATCCCTTTCCACGCCTCTAGGCGTATCGGGCATATGGTAAAAGCGCCCATATTTTTACAGACCAATTTTATCAGCACAGGAAACAAATGAGATGTTTGGAGAACCTTGGTTGCCATTCTGCTGCAGACGCCGGAAGAAAATTGGGGATTTTAATCTTGAGAAAGCAAATTAAAACAGTGCCTACCTATTATGCCATATGCTCAAAACTATAATCAAAATTATGTTCCCATTTATTCTTCTGCAATTAGACTTTGTTAATCTAGTTATTCATGTCACTTCAGGAATAGAAAGGAAACTTCATTATCTATACAATCCCTAACACTAATTAAAATACTATGATGAGATATCTTTTTTTTTGATGGAGCTCTAATTATTGTACAATCTTTAGCACCTATTCTGTTATGAGAAATTATAATTACACAAAAATGTAACCTTAAACACTAACTTTCAACAGGGGAGCATTTGGTGTGGTCCACCGAGCCGTGGAAAGAGCTACCGGCAAGAACTGGGCCGCCAAATTTATCCACTGCCGACCCCAAGACAAGGATGTCATCAGACATGAGATTGACATCATGAACAGCCTGCACCATCCCAAGCTACTGCAGCTGCATGAGGCCTTCGACCAGAGGGGAGAAATGGTCATGATCCTTGAGCTGTAAGTAATGTTACTATGTGTATGTTACACTTTGTTTCTTTGAGCTGTAAGTAACGTTACTATGTGTATGTTACACTTTTTTTCTTTGAGCTGTAAGTAACGTTACTATGTGTATGTTACACTTTGTTTCTTTGAGCTGTGAGTAACATAACGATTTGTATGTTACACTTTGTTTCTTTGAGCTGTAACAAAACAATATTATGTTACACTTTGTTTTTGTATTTTGAGCTGTAAGTAACATAACGATTTGTATGTTACACTTTGTTCCTTTGAGCTGTAAGTGACATAACTGTTTGTATGTTACACTTTGTTCTTTTGAGCTGTAAGTAACGTAACTATTTGTATGTTACACTTTGTTTCTTTGAGCTGTAATCTAGATTATTATTATTTTATTTGTTAACCTTGTTTTTTTTAATATCTACTCTTTAGGCTGAGTGGAGGAGAGCTATTTGACAGACTAGTGGAAAAGGAGTACACCTTGACAGAGGAGGACTGTATCACATACATGAAGCAGATCTGTGAGGGAGTCCAGCATATGCATCATAACAACATCCTTCACCTGGACTTGAAGGTAACATCGTGTGATCATCTTTTTAATCCCCCCCACTGGTGAAACTTCACATGTGCAGCATCATTGTTATTGGCTGTGAACTCCAATGGAAAGTCTTGGTTGGTCAACCACGGCTAAATTGTGGTCTAGTTCCAGAACTTAAGTGTTTCATGTACATTTATTTATTTATAGATCTGGCAAATTGTATGCAGACTGGTGATTCCTTTCCTCTTAGGCAGATGCAGGCCAACTTCAAAGCAAACATCAATCCTATCTCCACTGACCAGGTCCCCAGTAGTTAACCCATTCTAAAAACTGGAATACATCATGACGATGGGGAGGTTGCAGGGGGAAAGAGGCAGAGAGAGAACAGTAGAGAAAATGCTGGACAGTTTGACATCATGGCTGAAAGATCTTCTGTATCAGAATTGATTGAAGGGTACATGAGACAGAAGGTGGAGGATAGACATGACTACCAATGCCTCGCAACATAGACTATAAGAAGAAGAAGAAGAATAAGCATCTGTAAAGAGTTTACATTGACATATCATCATTATCAATCAGAAGGTCCTATGCAGAACATCACTGTCTTCATGATAGGCCTGAAAGTCTCTCTTTCTCAAGCCAATTTTCCAGCCCCATGTGTTTTCATAGCAAGTGCATCTTCAGTGTCTTGTATCCACCCTTATGAAGGTCGGCCATTCCTTTATTTGCCCCAAACTGATCCCTCCATCACTGATCTGTCAAGGCCACCATGGTGCTCAGCATGGCCAAAATGCCTCAGCTTTTGGGACAGGATTATATTAATGAGCCAGTTCTCCTACATTTATGAAGTTGTAATACTTTCAGGACAGGCACGAAATTGTTCAGTAATTTTTTTTTCCCCCTAAAGCTGAAAAGTTATAGTTAAGAAAATCAACTTCATTGAACTGGGTTCAACGTCATTGCACTGGATTTTATCCGATCTGGCTCAATCTCTCTCTGCAGAATGGCTAGCTGCTTGCTGAGAGCATTGCACAAAGCATGAACTATGTAGCTCTAACGATGATTCCCAGATATTTCTGTAAAAATTGCACTGGTGAACTAAATGATGCCACCATGAAAAGAACAAATAGCCTTCAGAGCATCAGGCAAATGGTTTGATCACTTTACTATGGACACTTGTCCTCCTGTGTCAACGTGTACTCCCTTTCCATCAGCCTGTTTAACAGCTCTCCTCCACTCATCCTAAAGAGTAGACTTAAACGGAAATGAGATTAACAAATTAAAAATTAAAAAATAAAATTTTAAAAAAAATGTGTAATACCGAAATCAGTCATTTAATGAGGTGAGACCTGTTTGTGCCTTTATAATCACAATGAGAAAACATTGTTTTGATTATGATTGACTCTGTTACAATTGTGCCCTCCACCAGCCTGAGAACGTCATGTGTGTTACAAAAGAGAGCAACGATGTGAAGATCATTGATTTTGGTCTGGCCCAGAGTCTGGAGGAAGGAAAGTCTGTCAAGGTTCTTTTTGGAACAGCAGAGTTCTGTGCTCCTGAAATCATCAATTACGAGCCTGTTTCATTCTCCACTGACATGTGGTCTCTTGGAGTTGTCACCTACGTCTTGTGAGTTTATCTTTCTCTGTAATAGTAGATGTTACCTACGTCTTGTGAGTTTATCTTTCTCTGTCACCTACGTCATGTGAGTTTATCTTTCTCTGTCACCTATGTCTTGTGAGTTTATCTTTCTCTGTCACCTGTGTCTTGTGAGTTTATGTTTCTCTGTAACAGTAGATGTCACCTACGTCTTGTGAGTTTATCTTTCTCTGTCACCTTTGTCTTGTGAGTTTGTCTTTCTCTGTAACAGTAGATGTCACCTACGTCTTGTGAGTTTATCTTTCTCTGTCACCTATGTCTTATGAGTTTATCTTTCTCTGTAACAGTAGATGTCACCTACGTCTTGTGAGTTTATCTTTCTCTGTAACAGTAGATGTCACCTACGTCTTGTGAGTTTATCTTTCTCTGTCACCTATGTCTTGTGAGTTTATCTTTCTCTGTCACCTACGTCTTGTGAGTTTATCTTTCTCTGTCACCTATGTCTTGTGAGTTTATCTTTCTCTGTCACCTACGTCTTGTGAGTTTATCTTTCTCTGTCACCTACGTCTTGTGAGTTTATCTTTCTCTGTCACCTACGTCTTGTGAGTTTATCTTTCTTTGTAACAGTAGATGTCACATACTTCTTGTGAGTTTATCTTTCTCTGTCACCTACGTCTTGTGAGTTTATCTTTCTCTGTAACAGTAGATGTCACCTACATCTTGTGAGTTTATCTTTCTCTGTAACAGTAGATGTCACCTACGTCTTGTAAGTTTATCTTTCTCTGTAACAATAGATGACACCTACATCTTGTGAGTTTATCTTTCTCTGTAATAGTAGAAGACATGTGTTTTATGAGTTGTTTACATTTCTCTACAACATTAGATGTCCTAAGTCTTGTGAGAAGTTTTTTTATGTTTCTCTGTAACATTAGATGTTCCATGTCTCAAGTTGTTGTGTTTATGTTACACTGAAATTGTAGATGTCCTATTTCTTTGGGGAGTTGCTATGGTGTAGCGACTAGATGCTCGCCTGCGGATTGGAAGGTCATGGGTTCGGGGACTGACAGAGCTGGCATTTTTTCAAAAATGACCTTGGCTCCCAGGTGGCTAGCCTTGATAGAGTACCAGGTATAGTTCTGGAAAGTAAAGGCAACTGGTGTGATGCTGACCACATCACCTACCAAGTGCCGATAGGTCTATAAAATATAGGTCTAGCCCTATATGCCTAATACACCTAAAGGGTGGAATAGGGTCCCTGCTTATATATCTTATGACTTTTTGTGTGTGTAAATATAGATGTTCTATGTCTTGTGAGTTTATGCTTATCTGTAATAGTAGTTGTCCTGTGTTTTGTGAGCATTTAACTATTGACAGAAAGATAACTTCATTAAAACTTGCCTTTGCCAGTGTCACTAAATGTCATTTTGGTTTTCTATTTCTACCAACAGTATCCTGTTTTAACCCTTCTGGGTTACATTTGTGAAATACAGGGTCTATTATTTATTGTTCTGATAAAAATTGTTTAAATGGATGTCATTCTTCTTCTGTGAACAGACTCAGTGGCTACTCTCCATTTGCCGGGGATGACAACCACCAAACATTCCAGTTTGTGAACCAGGCAGACTACGACTTTGATGATGAAGTCTGGGAACGTGTCTCTGACGATGCTAAGGACTTCATTAAACACCTGCTCATCAAGGACAAAAAGTAGGTCACTCATAAACTCTACAGATCAAATGTTTACTGTCAGTTCTTCTTCTTCTTCTTCTTCTTCTTCTTCTTCTTCTTCTTCTTCTTCTTCTTCTTCTTCTTCTTCTTCTTCTTCTTCTTCTTCTTCTTCTCTTCTCTTCTTCTTCTTCTTCTTCTTCTTCTTCTTCTTCTTCTTCTTCTTCTTCTTCTTCTTCTTCTTCTTCTTCTTCTTCTTCTTCTTCTTCTTCTTCTAATTCTCTGTTTGTCCTTTTAAAGTGACTGGCATATTGTGAAATAGTTTACAGCCAATCTGCAGTATCTGTACCTTGCAGCTCAAAACATTCAATCTCACAATGTCATATGAGTTAAAGGGCAGTGGTCTATACCCAAAAATGGAGCCCAAGAACTCACACAAGGAACAGTCAGTCAAGATAATTGGACCCTATAATAATGAGGTAGAAGTAAAGTAACAGCTGAAAATTTGCTGTAATGAAAGATTAATTTATTGAGTTGAAAAATTCAGTATGAACTATTATCTGTGTGTGTGTGTTTTTTTTAAAGACTATCTTTGCTGTCTATATTTACCTTTTTTTTTTACTATAGTGTAGGACAAGCAGCCGACCAGCACAAAGATGGGCACATGGATATAAGTGATCCTTGATTGTATATAATTGTGCATGAGGCGGGAGAGCTATCGTGACATTCATGTTCTGCAAAGGACCTGCTACATGATGATGTGGGATTGCTGGGTCCAGATCCTGAGGGTTTAGAGCTGCATGACTAGTGCAGTCACCATGGACTGTGTGCAAGTTAAGATCCCTCCTCTTCCCACCCCCCCCCCCCCCTCCCACCTTTTTTACTGGGGGTGGGGGGGACAGAAGAAAAAAACCATTATCTGACAGAGGTATCATCTTCGTCTTTTTGGCGTTCACCTACTGTAAACTCTGGCAGAAAGTTCTGGTTGTTCGTCCAGTTCTGGACAATGGTCTAGTTCCATGACTTGAGTTTTGCATGCACATCCGTTTCACAGATCTGGCTTATTTGTTTGCAGACTGTTGGGTCTTTGCCTTTCAGGCAGAGGTACTCTGACTTAAAGGAAACTACCTTAGTTAGTTGCCTGGTATAACATGCTTGTTTTTCTCCTCCCCCCCCCCCCCCCCCCCCCTCAACTGGGGAACCAGAACCCACATGAGAAACAGAGGAATCAAACCTATCTCTCAAAATGAGAACCCAGCATTTTTAGTTATCTTTTTATGCTTTTAATGTTTGCGTAGCTTGTTCTTTTGTTTCACTATAAAATCAAACACTGTACATGAACCTTTGTTTCTTTTTTTTTTTTTTTTAAGGCAAAGGATGACAATAGACGAGGCTTTGAACCATCCTTGGCTCAATGTGAGTTTTACTGTACCTTTTTCAGGGTCTTTGTCTTGTCTTGAATTGCATCTCTACTTTTCTGTCTTCTCTGCTTTCATTGTTATTAAAACTCTAAATTGGCTGGCATCCTTTATGATAATATGATCAGAATAATAATAATAATATTGAACCATATATATCATTGACATATGGCATTGCTTATTAATTGATGACAATATCATATTAATCCACATAATTGCTTTGCCAAAACTTGTGGTAAACATCATCAAAACAGTAGCCATCTTTCATTGCTGATGTCACTTAAACTGCATTCTGATTCCTGGTGTTTGTTACTTGCTTCACGTATAAAAAAATATGGTCCACAATGTGTATGTTCATACGTAAATTATCAGTTGAATCAAGGGAATGTAATTTTCTAAAGCAGTTAATATTATTTTGAACTTATTGTAATTTTAACACAAATAGGGTAAAATAAACATTACTTCCCAACAAGCAACAGTGAATATTATACTCATCAAACTGAAATTTAGATGTAGGAATGATGTAGGTGCAACTGGCTTACTTCTATACAAAATGACTCCACCCCCAGCACAAACAAAGAGAAAACTACACATACATACATCACTGAGGTATATAGGAATGATGTAGGTGCAGCTGGCTTACTTCTATACAAAATGACTCCATCCCCAGCACAAACAAAGAGAAAAAAACACATATATACATCCCTGAGGTATATAGAAATAAAAGATCATAATTTGCAAAATAAAATTAAAAAAAATTTCTTTTAATCAAAAGGGGGAGTGAGTCAACATTATGTTTTTATCAATTCATTTAGATAATGATTAAAAAAAAATGAGTGTGTAAAGTTTTCTCAGATGAACCATTCAACATTATAGAATAATTTAGATGAGCTGTTTTAGCACAGTCGATAGGAGGCTCGCTTTAAAATCCAGCTACGACTCGCTGCAGCCACGGTCGGTGTTCAAAACCGGGCGGTTTCCAGGTTTCACCCAGCCTCTAGGAAATGGGTACCAGAGTTGACACTCTGGGGTGAATGGAGGAACATCACCTTAGCTACGGAGTTATGTGCGGATGGCGACACAGGCTGACAGTTTCTTATCAGCTGTCCGTACTGGTGGCACAGCACTTATGGTTTATAACCGTGTGCAATGACGCTGGTTCACATCTCCCGACTTTACTTTTTTACCTTTTACCTTTTAGAATAATTTAGACAAGCACAGAGTGAAGTGTATATAGTTATATGTAAGGCATTATGTATATCAAAGACTAATTGGATAGCAGCATGGTAATTTGAAGTATATTATATGTCACGTGCAGAATCAGTTTACTGTAACAAAAAGTATTATCAGATATGATATGTAGTCCATTAGTTATGACACTTAGTCTATCACATATATTATATGTAGTAACTTGTAACATAAAGTCTATTAGTATTATATGTAGGGTCTGTTAGGTGTGATAAATGTTCTGTGAGATATATAGTTAGTTAGTTAGTCTATCACATATATTAAATGTAGTCAGTTGTAAAATAAAATCTATCAGTATTATGTAGGGTCTGTTAGGTGTGATAAATGTTCTGTGAGATATGATATATAGTTAGTTAGTTATGACATATTTTATTAGGTATTGTGTGTAAAGATAGGTATGACCTACAGTTTATGCCATACAATATGTGGAATCATTAAGTTTTTACATGTAGACTATCTAATATTATATACAAAATTAGTTAACAGTAATAAAGTCAATGAGATTTGAAAGAGTTAATTAACTATTAAAAGCCACTGTACAGAATTGATCAAATATATGTAGAAACAAGTACTTACATGTTTGCTGTGTACATGATTACTTTAGTCATGCGACTTACTTATCTGATCAATTAACTCATCATGTTTAATAACAGATTGGTTTTTGTGAGAGACAGTATATTAACTAGCTCAGAATATAACATCTTTTGGAAAATACTTCATCTTTCCTCTGTGTTAATACTGAAGTGTGATTCTCTCTCATTACCTGTAGTATAAAGGAAGATGTATGTTGGTAGTACACATTTGTTCCCCCCTAGAGTTTGACAAATTCTTCTTTTCTTCTTCTTATGCATTCACCCCTAAAAGGCCATTTGGCTTGTTGTGCTATGGCTTACAGCTAGGCTGTGATATATGTTCCCTTGACCCCTAATTGCGAGGGCTATACCAAAATCAGCCTCTGATTGGCTGGTAAAAGTAAACCATTTACATGAATGACACTGTTTATTGCTTGCGTGAATCAGTAGTCTTTTAGCTCACTGTACACATCAGTGTACAGTTACATGTATGCATTTGTTCACGAACTCTAGACGAAAAAACAGGAACACTGTTATTGCTTTTCTTGCCAGATATGCAATTTGTTTGTGTTATTAATTTCCTGGACTAGCTTATAGATCTGATGGATTTGGCTAGAACAGTTTCCATGTTTATTCATTCATGATTCATGAACCACTGTAGGTTGATGTGTGGTGAGCTAAAAGATTACTGAATGATGCAAGCAAGGAATGGTGTCTTTGTGGCAAATCATTTATTTTTACTAGCCAGTCGAAGGTTGATTTTGGAGTAGCCCTCGCTCCGTAGTTGCCTCTACAAACATGCTTATTGCAAGAAATAACAGCTTTTTTCCTCTTCCACGTCCTCAAAAAAAATTGAATTGATAAATTAATTGACAAAAAATGTGTCAGTTATATTTTTTGTAAAGGAAAGTGAGCAGTTATAACATGGGTTAGAGCCCTTGTAAGTTGAGATATAGACATTTGAGTTCCCTTTGTGAAAGAAATACATTGTGTTGTTCTATGATGGGGTCCTCTCCCACCCCACAGCCAAGTCCTCGTGACATCTTGCTGCTGATGTAGTGGATGTAAGTACCTGCCATCTTTGAATATCATCAGTGTGTTTAAACTCTTAAGCCATACCTGCTGCACAACCGTGTTTGTTTTGTTTTTTACGCTGTTACTGTAGACCAGTTGCCAAATTACCAGGTTTTTAGACAGTAATGAGACTTTATGGCTTACTATATATTAGGGAAGCTTGGGTAGTGCAATGACCAGA